CTGAACCAAGAACAGCGTGAACACCAGCTGAACATCGCTAGCTTCACCGACATCAACACTAAGTGAACCAACGTTGTCATCATCATCTGTACACCCTTTCTTTACCCCTTTTCAGAATTCTCACCAACCAACCCCAACTTCACACCCTCCCCCCCCCCTCCCCCCTTCCCGCCTACCCCCTCCCCTCCCTCCTCAAGCCCCTTCCTCTCAACCATCCCAACCCTACACTTCCTCCCTCCCACAATCACCCTTCCTCCCAACCCTCCACTCCCCTCCCTCTTTCACTTCATTTCTTCCCTCACCCTTTACTCCCCCCTCTTCCCCCCCTTCACTCCCTCCCTTCCCTCACCTTCCAACCTTTCCTCCCTCCCTTCCCTCACCCTATCACCTCCCTCCCTTCCCCTTACCCTCCATCCCTCCTCACCCTTCACTCCCCCTCACCCTTCACTCCCTCCCTCCAACCCTCCTCTCCGTCACCCTTCCCTCCCAACCCTTCACCCCTCCTCACCCTCCTCACTCCCGCCCCCATTCCCCCCATCCCACCTCCAACCCCCTCTCCCGTCACCCTTCCCTCCTAAACCCTTCACCCCTCCTCACCCCCTCCCACCCATCCCCCCATCCCCCCTTCAACACCCCCAACCCAACCCCTCCCCGCCTCCCCCTCCGAACCAGCTGCGTCGCCGCCGCGGTGGAGGCCATCTGTCCCGTCCCATCACGCCATCTGCCGCACCATCTGTTAACCTCCGCGCCATTAAATAAAAAGCCTCGCATTAGGAAGGAAGGAAGGAAGGAAGCGCCGGCGACAGATAAATGCGAGAAAAAATAAAAAAAAAAGATTAAAAAGATGGGAGTAAATAAAGAAACTAGGAGCAAGGGACAAAAAAAATAGGATAAACAGATAAATGAAATCAACGAAAATCAGGGAATATGAGAAACAGAACAGTATAGATAAATAGATAGATATCCCTCTATCATTCCCCCCTCCCTCCCCTCCTCTATTCCTCCCTCCTCCCTCCCTCTTCCTCTTCCTCTCGCCCTCCCTCCCTCCCTCCATTCCCTTCCTATCCTATCCCTCCCTCCCTCCCTCTATCCCTCCCTCCCTCCTCCCTCCGACTTTAATAAACCCATCAACTCTGCCAAGTTTGCTTTTATCTCGACATCCGGAAAAAAAAATAATATATATTTTGGGGAATTATTACGAGCTTTAATCAATCTATCTTCTTCTTCTATCTGATTATTCTACATCCTTCCTCCTTTTGTATCATCTCCCCAATTTGTTTTATTCTTCCTACTTTTTTATCTACGCATTTTCCTTCATTTGAAACATAAAAAAAGGTAACAGCATTTTGGGTCGTATTATTGATATGATAAAATACATGTATGTAATATACAACACATCTATCTATCCATCTACATGTTCCGTTATGTCTGTATGTATATATATATTTTTTATTGGACATTCATTTCTGCATAATCCCCCCCCCACCACCACACAACCACCTCGCCCAACCAAATAATAAAATTAAATTAAATTAAAAAAGGGAAAATTCTCTCGCAACATTCATTTCAAAAACCAAAATCATTTTCACTTCTATTCGCATTTCCCACCGACCACTTATCTACAAGCCCCCCCCCCCCCCCGCCCCCTCCTCCACCCCCCTTACCCCTTTAACTCCTCCCACTCTCTTCCCCCTCCCCATCCACTCTCCCCCCACCCACCTTCCCTCTCCCACTCTCCTCCCCACCCACTTTCCCTAACCCACTTCCCCTCTCCACCCTCTTCCACCCACTTCCCCTTCACTCCCTCTCCCACCCCTTCCCCCCTCACTTTCCCTCTCCCACTCTCCCCCCACGCACTTCCCTAACCCATCTCTCCTCCCCACCCCTATCACCTTCCCTCCTCCCCACTCTCCTCCCACCCCCTTTTCCCGTCCTTCCAACTCACCACCCCCTTCTCCTCCTCCACCTCTCTCCCACTCCCCTCTTCCCCCATTCACTCTCCCTCTCTCTCCACTCCCCTCTCCCCCTCCAACCCCTTCCCCCCACCCACACTCTCCTTCCACTCACCCCCTTCCCCCACCCAGAAAAAAATATGACCACCGTCAATCACCAAGAACAATAACACGTCCCACGATTGCCACAACACCGTCCGCCATAATAATGACAGCAATAACACGATTGCCGCGCAGTTCCATCACCTGAGATGTACTCCTCGCTCTTTTATATGACTCCCGAAATAAAGCAATTCATCAAGTTTTTTAATTGGGACGAGGGAGGGGGAATTCGCACGCTCGACGCACGCACGCACGCACACACGCACACACGCACGTATACGCAAGCACGCGCACACGTACGGGTTTGCAGGGGTGGATCCGTCTGGCAGGAGATGAAATCCTTTTGCTAGTGTGTGTGCGTGTGTGTGAGTGTCGTGTGTGGTGAGTGCCGCGTGTGTGTGAGGTGTGTGAGTGTGCATGTGCGCGGTGTGTGTGAGTGCGTGAGTGTGTATGTGCGTGTGTACGTACTAAGTGTGTGTTTGTGAAGTGTAGGCCCGTGCGTGTTTTGCGATGGCCGTGTCCGGCGTGTGACGCACACAGAGCCTACGCATACCATAACGCACACACACACACACGAAACACACACACACAGGCACAAAGCCCCGCGCACACCCCACCAACTCCGCCGCCCGCCAAAAGCTGCCCGGCCGGCCTCCCAAAAGACGACTTATCAAAGGCTCTCTCGTAATTTGCCTCGGGCCATTCAATCGCCTCTCTCCCTCTCCCCTCTCCCCTCTCCCTCGCGACTCTCCCCCTCCCCTTCCTCTTTCCCCTTCTCCGCACCGCCTCTCTCCCCTCTTCCTCTCTCGACTCTCCCCTTCCTTCTCTTCCCCTTCTCCGCAGCCTTCTCTCCTCTCCCTCTCGACTCTCCCTTCCCTTCTCTTCCCCTTCTCCGCACCCGCCCTCTCCCCCTCTCCCTCTCGACTCTCCCTTCCCTTCTCTTCCCCTTCTCCCACCCCGCCTCTCTCCCCTCCCCTCTCCCTCTCGACTCTCCCCTTCCCTTCTCTTCCCTTCTCCGCACCCGCCTCTCTCCCCTCTCCCTCTCGACTCTCCCCTTCCCTTCTCTTCCCCTTCTCCGCACCCGCCTCTCTCCTCTCTCCCTCTCGACTCTCCCCTTCCCTTCCCGCACCCGCCTCTCTCCCTTCCCTGCTTCCACCTGCCCTCCTCCTCCTCCTCTCCTCAATGCCCTCTCCTTTCCTCCTACCATCTCTCCTCCCTCCTCCCTTCTTCCTCCTCCTACCCCCCCTTCTTCTCCCTCTTCCCTCCCTCCTCCCTTCCCTCTCTCCCTTCCTCCTACCCTCCCTCCCCTCTCTCCCTTCCCCTACCCTCTCCTCCCTCCCTACCCCCACCTTGCTTCCACCTGCCCTCCTCCGCTTCCCTCCCCCCTCCTCCACCACCCCTCTCCACCACCGACCCTAATCAATGCGGCATTACATCGCCCATAAAAGAGGGAACAGCGGGATCGACTCCACCATCTCCATCAACCTGTGTGGTGGTGGCGTGGTGGCGCTTTCGTCTCGCCGTCTTGCTGGCCCGCGTTCGATTCCCGCGCTCCGCCAGTGGATGGTCACCCGGCCCTTCCTCGCTCGCAGGGGGTGGTTTGGAAGCGCTAATAAACAGACAAAGCTACAATTTGACTGATTTCACAAGAACCTGTCACAGCAAACCTAAATCATTATTATTATCATTTTTTTTTTAATTCTTTATTCTTCTTATTTCTTTATCTTTACACCCACTCACACTTTCACACACACACGCATAAAGAAAAGATAAAGAAAAAGAGAAAAAAGAAAAAAGAAAAAAAATTAGAAAAGAGAAAAAAAAAATGAGAAAAGAAAAAAAAGAAAAAAAAAGAAAACTTTTTTTTTTTTTTTTTTTTTAAGAAAGAGAAAAGAGCAAAGAGCGAGAGCAAGCGAGAGACGCCAAGAACCCCCCCCCCCCCCGACTCGCTTAATAAACGATGAACAGAGGGTCGTTTAGGCGGCTTTGCGTCCATCATTACCAAGACACATTTCTTATCTTATATGATCTTGGGTCACGGATCATGATGGATGGAAGGCGGATGCGAGCGAAAGAGAAAGATAAAAATGGAGAGAGAAAAAAAATGAAAAAAGGAAAGGGAAAATAAAGACAAAAATAAATCAATAAATAAATAAAAAGTGAAGTAAAAGAGAGAGGGAGGGAAGGGAGGGAAGGGGGAGAGAGAGAGAAGAGAGAGGGAGAGGGAGAGGGAGAGGGAGAGAGAGGGAGAGGGAGAGGGAGAGGAGAGGGAGAGGGAGAGGGAGAGGGAGAGGGAGAGAGAGAGAGAGAGAGAGAGAGAGAGAGAGAGAGAGAGAGAGAGAGAGAGAGAGAGAGAGAGAGAGAGAGATGAAAAGTAACGAAGAAAGAAAATAAATAATAAAACGACCGATTTTCTTCGACATCTAAAAGGATTTTAATGTTGATGAATAAGTCATAACTTGTCCTCCCTCCCTCCCTCCCTCCCCTCCTCTCCTCTCCCTCTTCCTCCCTCATCCTCTCCCTCTCCCTCCCTTCCTCCCTCATCCTCTCCTCCTCCTCCTCCTCCCCCCTCTCTCCCTCCTCTCCCTACTCCTCTCCTCTCCCTCCTCCTCCCTCCTTCCTTTCTCCCCCCCCTCCCCCCCTCCACAAACCTCCCCGCCTACCTAACACCCGACGGCGAGAGAGAGGTCAAAGGTCAACCCAACTGACCTGCTAAAGAAAAAAACAAAAAATAATAATAGTAATAATAAAAAATAAAAAATAAAAAAAAAACTAGAAGCCGGCGTCGGAACGAAAAGGAAATTAATTCGACAAATGAAATATGGCTCTGCAACATCCTGCTATTTGTGACAACATTGCAGACGATAACGAAAGCGGAAAAAATAGATAATTGGCGATGGAAATGATGCGCAATCAACGCGGGGAGGAAATAAAATGATAGTAATG